AAGATCTCGTATGTCATGTGGTGATAGATGCTCTGAAGAAAAATAAGAACAAGGAATGAAGGTTGAGCGTGCTGTTTTACATAGGCATTTACAGAGGGCATCCCAGGAAGAGTGACATTTGAATAGAGACCCAGAGGACAGAGGGGGCACAATAGCTAACATCTGGAATGTGTCGCAGGTAGAGGAGATGATAAATGTAAGGTCCTGGGTGGGAAGATGCTTGGGGTATCCAAGGTCTGGCAAGAGACCAAGGTGGATCAAGTAGAGTGGCAGGAGGTGGGACTAGAGAGGAGGACTCCAGCAGTGGAATTGGAGCATCTGGCTTCATGTTTTAGAAGGGTCATGGCTGTGGTGCTGAGAGGATGGAAGCACAGAGACCTCTTGAGATGCTATTGCAAGAGAGAAGGGGGTGGCAGGGACAAGGGTGGTAGGCATAGAAATGGTGAAGTATCATGGATGTATTTTGGAAGTTGAGCCTGGAGGATTTACTGGTTGGATATGGAGTGTGAAAGAGGAGTTAAGAACAGCTGAAAGGTTTTGTGACATGAGTAGCTAGAGAAAACAGAATTGCCATTTACTGAAATTGGAAAAAGTTTTCTCTTTCTGCTTATATGACCACTATTAATATGTAAAAACTATGAATTACAGAACCCATGTGCTTGGAAGTAGACGTGTCTGAAAATGAGGTCGGAGAAAATGTCATTTAAGAGGCTGAAAGTTCTGTGTTTGTGGACAGTTCTAAAATGCCTTTTATAGACGGATGGTATTACTAGGGCATACAGCCGTAGATAAAGAAATCTGTGGTCCATACTTGCAGATGGTGGTGATGGTGATGGCGGAGACACTAAGCAAAATTAGATCGAGGCTTGTAAATGATGTGCCTTCATTTTTACTTTTTAAAATTTATTCTTTTAATTGAAAAATAAAAATTCTACATATGTATATGCATTGTAATGTCTTAAAATATGTATGTATTATGGAATGGCCAAATCAAGCTAAGGAACATATGTATTACCTCACATGCTTAGCATTTTTGGGGAGTGAGAACACTTAAACCTACTCTGTGAGTTTCAAGAATACAATACATTGCTATTAAATATTAACTGTGTGCTTTTAGTTCATCTTCATTGATATGGCCAAGCCACAGTGTCATCGTGGAGGATCCGTTTTTTCCTCAGCCTGATAATTTGTAAAACAGCATATAATGGGTGAGGGCAGTAAATATAGAAAATATAGGTATGGAATTCTGGTAATTAGCATTTCTATAGAACTGACAGTTTTGGAAACTTTCTTTCAATTCTGCATCACACTTACCTTGGTTATACACCTTTTGTCCCTTAAGATGCTAAATGTTTCCTGTGATAAACTGCTAGCAAGAGCGGGTATACATCCCTCACTTGAAGGTGGTATGCTGTGCCCCTGTCTGACTTCTGCATTCAGTAATATTAAAGGAACCTCTTCCAGCTTTTCTATGGCACTTGTTAGAGGTTGTAAGAACTAATGTAGGAAATTTTAAGCAAATCCGGTCACTACAAATCAGTATTTACTATTGGTGCATGAGGTAAGGACATGTTGCTGTTTCAGTCCAGGATACTTTGTGGCCAGCAGCATGTAGGTGACCACAGAGTAGGACCTGGCCCTCTAGGAGTACACAGCCTGCTTAGGGAGAGGAACCACAAGTATTTGAAGCAAGGGTATCATGCCCAGGCTTAGATGCCCTTGAACATCAGCGAAAGTTTCAAGACAACCTATGTCTTTTAGTTCAACTCCTTGTAGTATGAAGACTTTGGGAGTCTGGTTGGAAAACATTAAAATGGAATCATTTAAAGGACAAAGTCCAAACTGGCATGTTTGATGTCTACCGTAAGCTCTAGGGTGTGATGAAGTGTAAAAGGGATAATGAGTATTTGATTCAGTACAAAAAATGAAAAATAAATTGCAGGGCTGCAGTGGACCATTTTTGAGAAGTTTGACTAATTGTAGAACGAGTAGTAAAGCCACTGACAACAGAGCAAATTTGGAAAAATGATCTATTTAGAGAGAGCCCTGTTGGGAGTGTGATTGGATGTGAAGAGGAAATGGGATCTTGGAGCATTGCACTGTGCTTATAGGTTTTCTGCTCATACTGTGCCTGAAACATTTGCAGCCCTCACAGTTCACGGCCTCAATTTTCCCAGATTTAAAATAATACTCCCTTCTTGGGGTTGTGATTTTGATTAAAAACCTTGGCTTGTGGACTAATAGCTCATGTCTATATATGTGTGATATGTGATGAATTAGGTTTTTTTTTCTGTTTTCTCCTTGATTTCCTTCTCTTTCTTCCACATTTGTTCACGTCTTTTATGGCTTTGTTGGAAATATGTACGAAAATTACCTAATTCCTATGTAGGAATTATCTTCTTTCCTCTGCTTGCTTTTCTACCCTCTGTGAATTTGTGATACAGCAGTCTTCCCCAGAGTAATTAACTGTGATTCTACAAGCTGCAAAAATTTAACTTCAGATGAAAAATAAGTAGCAGATGCTGATGAACCTTAAGTGAGAAACATTTGTATTTTATGCAGCTGTCACTCATAATTAAGAGAAAATAAGTAAGTAGAATGGACCCTAACTTGCTTGATTGCTTCAAAGGGTGGGCATCCATTCTTAGTGCATTTACTGGGACTATTAAATAGTAGCCATTATGGGACATTTTGTTCAACGTCTATGGCACATTGCCACCTTGTGGCTGCAAATTTGTCTTGTAATGTAAAAGTAAATTTTTTAATGTTAAGTCTACCTGATATAATCTTAATGTTACATTTTTCCTAGTATTTATACTTCACTTTGCTCACAAAAGCTTTGAGACACCTTATAAGACTACCTGGAGTATAGGATAGGAGAACTTAAGAGAATATTCTTGTTCTTAGAAGAGGCATGTTGAAGTATTTGTGGGCAGGGGGCAGTGAAGAATCATACTGCCTGCAACCAACAGTCACCATGCATGTGTGAAGAGAGGGAGAGAGAGCAAAAGCAGTGTGGCAAGAGGTTAACAACTCGCCATTGAGAATATGGGTGTTTACTGTTCCTGTAACTTTTCTGTAGTTGCAAATGCTTTTCTGAAAAGTTTGAAATTTAAAAATTGGCAGAAAAAATAATTGGGGTATTGAGCACAAAATTGAGCCAAAAAGGAGGCAAAAATAACCTCTACATTCTTTAATGATCTGACTCTAGATGAACTCAGTGATTTGGTTCTGCATTTTCTAGAGGCTATATGGAAACTTCTCCTTGGAGGCCCTCCTAAATAGGACACTGATATAATGAACAGCAGCCCTTGGCAAATACCTTGTGATAAGTTCAGCTCTGCATTTGAAAGGGTGTGGGTTTTTTTTTTTTGTTTTTTTTGTTTTTTCCTTTTTCCCAAGTGCACTCTGGAGTCCCTTTTTCCTACTGATCTGGCTTTGATCTTGGAGTGGATGGGCTGCCAGTTTTTCAAGGGCCTCTCACTAAAATACTGACCGGCAATGAGTGTGAGATGGTACTTACAGAGAAGTGCTTGAAATCCAGATGTTAGGTCTTACTAATTAATACAGTTATGCTTAGGGAACTCTCTCAGTAGCTGAGCAGATGCGCTCTGTTCTATCTCAACTAACTTGGGAAGGGTTGCTCATAAACAGGATCAAATTTCCTTTAGTGCAATAGTTTTTATTTTATTTCTATTTAATTATTTTTTATTATTTATTTTTTGAGGCAGGGTCTTGCTCAGTTGCTCAGGCTGGAGTGCAGTGCTTCAATCATGGCTCACTGTATGTAGCCTTGACCTCTTGGGCTCAAGAGAGTCTCCTGCCTCAGCTTCCCAAAATGCTAGGACTATTGATATGAGCCACTGTGCTCAGCCTGTGCAATGACTTTGAATATGATGCAGTGCATAGACAGACAAAATGGATGACCTAGTCTCCAGATTTCTATTTCTTATAAATAACATCCATGATAATCTTAACCTGAAAAAATTCAACAGCTATAACCAGGTGATCACCTCTTTTCCCCATGAAAACAAAACAAATCTCAGTGAAACGGCTCTTAAAATGCCCAGCTTTGAATGTGACTTGGCTTTTCTGTTTTCAAATTTCTGCAAAGTTAACCTTTTTATGTACTTTTTTGAGGGATCTTTAATAACTAACTGGACTTACGTAGGTGTACATGAAAATTTTTGTTCTTTGCAACTATCTTAGACACATATTCATATGTACTTACCTTGAAGGTGAACATTTTAGATGGTATGGCTCTATTAAGTATGAGAGGCTTTCTTATAAAAACGGGCAGATCTTGAAATAAGTGTTGTGACACAAGGGATTTTTTTGTAGAATGCTGTCTCTTGAAGTGACTTTGGTTTCTCTGATTCTTGTGACAGGTTTTCTTTTAAAAAGCTATAAAGTGATGTAGGGATGTATTGATTTCCATTAAGGGCTAGGGTGCTTAGAAATTTCTCTCCTGCACAACATATATTTGTGAGCAATATGTGAATTTTCTTTTGTAACCAACTAAAGAGAGTGATCTATTGCTTCTCTATAGAGCAACAATCTTCAGTTTTGGGAGAAACCATGTACAGAAAGACATGTTTTATATAGTGACCTAGGATACACACACACACACACATAACTGAAGAAAAGATTTCATGAAACAATACTTTCCCTTTGTTCATTGGACGCTGATAATTTCTATTCTATTGCATTAAAAAACAACAGTCACAATCTACCAAACTTGATTTCATGACCCACTAATGTGCTGTGACCCACAGTTTGAAAATCACTGCTGCTGAGATTTTGCAGCAAGCCAGTCTCTCTTTCGGATGGAAATGTGACAATGAAAATCTGAATTCTCTAAGGTAGCAAAATTGAACACGGGATTGGGAGAATGGGGTTTGAGAAGGAAAAGAAAGGAAGAAAAAGTGTGAATGATTGGTCTTTCATTCTAGGCTGTGTTGATGCCCTAGCCAGTGATGCCATTCTTCCTCTTTCTGCAGCTTGACCACATATTATCCCCTCCACCCATGCCGTTTCGGAAATGCAGCAACCCAGATGTGGCTTCTGGCCCTGGAAAATCACTGAAGTATAAAAGACAGCTGAGTGAGGATGGAAGACAGCTAAGGCGAGGGAGCCTGGGAGGAGCCCTGACTGGTGAGTCGTGGTGGCTTGTTTGAGAGAAGGAATTGCGTTTCTTTACGGGGTCCTGCATGGCCCCAGAGTTCCACATGTAATCAGCCTGCTTAAGAATGGGCCTGCCTCTGCAGACCATTTCATAAAAATGTTATCCAATCCAGAAAGCAGTTAAATTGAAAATTTTATTAATAAACTTTGCTGAAATATAATTTACATGCAATGACAATATCCCCAATTTTTATTATTATTATTATTATTTTTTTTTTTGAGACAGAATCTCGCTCCATTGCTAGGCTGGAGTGCGGTGGTATGGCGTGATCTCGGCTCACTGCAACCTCCGCCTCCCAGGTTCAAGCGATTCTCCTGCCTCAGCCTCCTGAGTAGCTGGGACTACAGGACACGCCACCACACCCAGCTAATTTTTGTATTTTTAGTAGAGACGAGGTTTCACCACGTTGGCCAAGATGGTCTTGATCTCTTGACCTGGTGATCTGCCTGCCTCGGCCTCCCAAAGTGCGGGGATTACAGGTGTTAGCCACCGCGCTGGGCCAGTATCCCCAATTTTAAGTTTCCATTTGGATGGATTTTTGCAAATATATGCCTCAGTTTACTGCCGTGATCAGGATATAAAATGTTTCCCATGCTCTTCGTCGTCAAACTAACCCTCTACTGCCACCCTCAATGCCAAATCCTTGGCCCTAGGCAGCCATTATAGATTTAGATGTACTTATAGATTAGATGTACTTTCTCAAGGGGTTTATATTAAAGGAAGCAGAATGTCTACTCCTTTGTGTCTGACTTCTTTTGCTCAGTGTGATGTTTCTAAGATTCACCTAAACTGCTGCATGTATTAGTAGCATATGTTTAACTTTGTCAGAATAGGTTCTAGTGTTCTATACTACTGTAGGATAACTGTAGTTAACAATTATACATAATTTCAAATAGCTAGAGGGAGGATATTGAATGTTCCCAACACAAAGAAATGATAAATGTTTGAGATGATGGATATGCTAATTACCCTGATCTGATCGCTATACATTATATGATTGAAACATCACTAGTACCTCATGAATATGTATAAATTATTCTTTGTTAATAAAAATAAAATTAGAAAAGAAATTGCCGAATGGTTTTCTAAAATTGTACCATTTTACATTCCTGATATGGATGAACGATCCAATTGCTGTGCATTCTTGCTAACCTGTGGTATTGCCAGTTTTAAAAATTTTAGTGATTTTCAGTGTTATATGGATGTATCACATTGTGGTTTTTCATTTATGTTTCCTTGGTGACTGGATAATGTAGAACACCTTTTCATGTGCTTATTGGACAATTATTTGTGTTTTGTGAAGTATTGGTTCAATTCTTTCACCCCTTTTTAAATTACATTGTTAAAATTGAGAAATTTTCAAATCCAGAAAACTCACAAATTATTTTTTACTGCAAAATAGCCAAATTAAATTAAAATTGAGCTTTTAAAAAGTAACTCACCACTTAAAAATTGTACGTTGTTAACTATATCACTGAAAGGTAGATTTCTGCTATTTCATCAGAGTGCTTATTCCTCTAGATAGAAATATTTTCAGGGAACTTTGTTTCTTAAAATCCCCAGAGTTTTCTTTCCATGTGATGGTCTTGTCTGCCAGTTTAAAAATGGCCTGGAAAATAAGTTGAATTACTCATTTTTTTTCTTGGAGAACTATGGACTTTGGCTTTTTGAAGATGAAATTTCTGAGAACAGAAGTGCTACTGCCACATGATTAGTGGAGTCTGGGACATCTGACGCAGTGTGCCACTCTGCTGGAACAAAGGGCCAAACTACCTCAGGGCAAGGGGGAGAAATTCATCAAAAAAATTGCTGCAGTTTAAGGCAAATCTTTTCCCTTGAGTTTACTGATGCTCTTCTAATGCTTGTTGGGATATTTTTCTTTGCTTTCATTTGGTAAATGCAGACTATTTGCTTTTTAAAGTAGGAGATCCCAAAGATTATTGTAACTCTTATAGGTAAGAAAATTAAATCTTAAAGGTTAAAAGACTCATCCTCTTATTTATTAATTGCACTTAGGAAATTGACTTACCTTGATTCAACTATTTTTGACAGAAAGGAGGGGCAGTAATTGTTCTATCCACTTTTGCTAAAGCAGTTTACATAAAGCTTTAAAATAATGCATGGGTGTGGCTGTTGATGCAGATATATGATCTCAAACATGAAATTTGGCCTTTAGCTTTGAAAATAAATAGATGGACTTGATTCTTTTGTCATAATTTTAACAGCTCTAGCAAGTCTATCCTTAGACAATTAGTTTGCTACACAATTATTTTTGGTAACTAAATCTTTGGTCAGATAATTTTTAAAAATATTTAATAGTACTTAGAAGAGCTTAAAAAATCCACTGAACGTCAACCTGTTTTTGAAGACAGTTCCTTGAAAATTATATTAGAATATTAAAAAAACAATTTTTAATTGTTCCTCTGTATAGTTTAGCTGAAGATTTAATGAAATAATACATACAAAGCAGCTAGCCCAGGCAGCTGCTAGTATTATGTGCATAACTAATTGAATTTGGGGGGATTTAGAGTTGACGGGTGGCATGGACTCATGGAAATGAGTTTGGTACCCTTATCGACTGGCTTGCTACTTTGTGTTAGGCACTGTGTTTGTGTCGGGCTAGTGTCAGGTGTTGGAGCACAGAGAAGACAGCATCTTCCCTGATCTTTAAAAAATGTGTTTTCCACTAGTTTTAAGTAACTAAATAATCACGTGTGTTCTCATCTTGGGACATACCCTGTTGCTAAACTTAAAATAAGCCATACTGGTTTTTCCATCACAGGCCCATGCCTGATCTAATCTGTTACTTAATGACTGACCACCTTCTCATGGTTTTAGTTTGTTTTAATCCAAGGATCTTTTCTTTGGCAGTATTCTACTTTCCTTAAAACAACGATTTTTAGTTTATAGTTGGACAGTTTTGCCAACCAATTATCCTTGATAAGGTTCACTAAACTTTTAGCTTTTTGAAAGGAAGATCTGTGATCAATTTATGTATTTATCCCTAATAATGATAGCGAATATTAAAAGCTTACTGTGTAGCAGGCATTATGTTTAGGGAATTATATTTACTGACTTATTTAATCCTTACAGCATCTCTGTGTGTCTATGAGGGAGACACTGTTAGCCCATTTTACACACGAGAATGCTGAGTCACAGGCAGGTTGAGTAACTTCCTTGAGGTCACAGTTCTCACAACAGCAAAGCCAGGATTTGAACCCAGGCATCGTGGCTCCAGAGTTCATGCTCACAACTGCTACACTGTTCCTAGCATATTCAGTACCTAGGTTTTAAATAAATTCTTAATTCCAGCAGTATTAATTGGAGTGAATCTTAGATGGGAAAATTATTCACTCAGTTGGAATTTGTGTCTAACTCAATCTGTAGGGCTCCCAGTCATTTAATTGTAAAAATAAAGTAAAACTAGGCAATTAGTACATATTTAACACCTTAAAATTCACACATTGGTTAACCCAGAAATTCGACTTCTCAGAATTCATCACAAGGAAATAGTCATATGTCAAGAGAATTAACCTTAGTTATATTTAAAGCAGCACCATTTATAATAATTAAAATTTCATATTATCTAAATAGCTGGCAAATGAATACTGATTAAACATTATGGCATGCATATAAAATGGGAAACAACTGTAAACATTAAAAGTCATGTTATAAAAAATATGTTTTAATATTGAAAGAGACTCACAATATATTAATGTGAAATACCATTGTTAAATGGTCTCATAGTGTCTCATACTTCCTAAGACTTACTATATTTGTAATTAAATAATTATATACAGATGGTCCCCCACTTACTATGGTTTGGCTTTTGACTTATCAACTTTATGCTGAGTTTAGTGGGGTATGAAATACATTATTGACTTAGGATATTTTTTACTTCTGATGGGTTTATCAGGATGTAACCCCACTGTAAGATGAGGAGCATCTGTCTTTAATGAGGAGGAAGAAAACAATTACTTTCTGCTAAGGAATTTTCTCAAACTGGAGTGATGGTTGAGTAGGCTGTCTTTAAAAATGGGCAAGTGAAGGATGCTATGGCCTTTTTATACCCTGCAGCTTAATCCATGGGATAGTTTTTGAGCCCGAGTTTTTCTGTGGCATTTGGTGGTGTATCAGTCAACAACAGTAATGTTGTATAACTGCAAATATCTCAGTGGTAGACAGCAATAAGTATTTTTTTCTTGTTCAGATGGCTATAGGTCAGTTGGGGGTTGGCTGTAGGTCACTCTGGGCCCTGCTGGGCTTGGTCCCAGGATGCAGTTTGGGGCCAGATTTGCTCTATGTGTCTATCTTCTTCTTTAGACCAGCAGGTACCAAAGACATCATCTCCTTATGAAAGGCAGGAGCAGGAGAGGGCAAGTTCTCCTGTACAGGCACATTTCAAGGTTCTGCTGGTGTTATGTCTGCTAATTTCATATTGGCTAAAGCAAATGGTATGGTCAAGCCCAGAGTCAAGGGGTAGAAGCACACTTCCCTTTGATACCTTGGCCAGGATGCAGGTACAGTCATGTGCCACATAAAGTCATTCTGGTCAGTGATGGGCCGTATATGTGACAGTGGTCCCATGAGATTATAACGGAACTGAAAAACTCCCATTATATGGTAATGTCTAGATGATCCTGATTCATCTAGCCTAGGCCTAGGCTAAGGTGTTTGTGTCTTAGTTTTTAAACAAAAGAGTTTAAAAAGGAAAAGAAAAAATAGAAAAAAAAAAGCTTATAGAATAAGGATATAAAGAAGAAAATGTTTTTGTACAGCTCTACAATGTATTTGTATTTTAAGCTAAGTGTTATTGCAAAAGTCAAAGTTTAAAATTAAGAAGTTTATGAAGTAGAAGTTACAGTAGGGTAAGGTTCATTTATTATTAAAGAAAAATATTTTTTTTAAAATCAGCGTAGCTTAAGTATACAGTGTTTCTAAAGCCTATAGTGATGTCCTAGGCCTTCAT